GGGGTGGCCAACCTGTGGCACAAATGCCGCTAGTGGCATGGAAACTTCTGTCTATGGCATGAGCAGATGGGAGAGGGACTAGGCAACACAGTGTCAGATAGGGCAGGGTGCAGAAAAGAGAGCTGCACATTGGGCAGGGAGCACAGAGCAGGAAGCAGAAACAAAGCAGAAAGCAAAGCAAGACTGAGCATGGAAAGGAGATCAGTGGCACTCAGGAAGGGTGTGGGACTCATTTGGCCTGCCATAAATAGGTTGATCCCCACTCATATAGTCTGATATATTGCAGGCCACAGAAACTTGTGTCCAGCAATTTCTGCATCAAACCCATAATTTCTGTTTAAACTACAGCTTGCTATATTTTCTCACATAACTCACACCTTTTCCCCAAAAATCAGTGGAGGAAAACTGGGGTGCACATTATATGCGAAGAAAAGGCTCCCCACAGAAATTTGGCAGGAAAAAGGTGGGGGATGGGGGAGGAGGAGAGGGCAGAACGGTGGTGGCATTAATTGCGGTGGCTTTGGGACCCATAGCAATTATCACTGCCACTGCTCCTTCCCTCTACCACCAAATTTCTGGATCTATGGCAAGCCCCGCTGCTGAAACACATCAAATCAAGTTGGCATACAGGGTTGGTCCTTGGCTGGAGCATGGGGTCCAACTCTATGTTGGTTCTGAAGCCATGTGCTAGTGTCAAAATAAAAGTGATGGATCCATGAACTGCCTGCACCGGGTCAGCACCAGCATCCGGCCCGCAGCCCCCACCTCCAGTGCCCCACCCCTTAGTTAGTTACCTGTACTCTAAGGTACATCTTTTTTTTTTCCTTCTTGAGGTTTAAAAAATTGGGTGCCCGTACACCAATGACAGGAGCCTGGACAACAAGCAGGAGGAGCTAGCCCTCCTGCTCTCTAGTGGGCAATATGACCTGGTAGGGATCACAGAGACGTGGTGGGACTCCTTGTATGACTGGAGTATAGCTGTAGAGGGCTACATCCTGCACAGAAGGGACCAAGCAGGGAGAAAAGGCGGATGTGTCGCTCTCTATGTGAGGGAGTAGTACACCTCTCCGGAGGCTGATTTTGGCTTCAAAGATAAGCAGCTTTAAACCCTCTGGGTCAAGCTTTGGGGTGGGGGGGGGGGGGGGGGGGTGAGAGAGACCTAACTGTGGGGATTTTCTACAGGCCACCAAACTAAGGGGAAGAGCTTGATCTGGAGTTCTCTAAAGAACTGAGAGGCTGCACGTGCAAGGGACTTGGTTGTCATGGGCAACTTCAATTAGCCAGACAGATTGGGAGGAACACTTGGCTAGGGCAGATCGGTCATGAGGGACCAACCAGAGGTACCACTCTCCTAGACTTGGTCTTGGTCAAAGGAGATGATCTGATGCGTGGCTTGAACATTGCAGGTAGCCTAGGTGACAGTGACCATGAGCTCATCAGGTTCACTTTCCGCCGCAAGGTTGACAAATCAACTAGCAGGATTGAAGTCCTGGACTTCAAAAACGCTGACTTCAACAGGCTCAGGGCATTAGTAGTGGGGGCAATGCGGGACCAGGGACAGAAGGTGAATCGGGTGCACGAAGAGTGGTCGTTCCTCAAGGACAGTCCTCGAAGCATGAAAGAAAACTGCTCCCATGAAGAGGAAAGGTAGCAGAAGGGCTGGCAAGCCCTCCTGGCTCAGTAAGGACATCCCGGTCCTCTTGAAAAAGAAAGAAGAGACATACACACAGTGGAAGCTAGGGACAGTCCTCAAGGAGGACTATAAAACAGTGGTCTGGAATTGGAGGGAAATGATTAAGAAAGGGAAGGCGGCGACTGAGTTTGAGTTAGCCAAGGGAGTCAGGGACAATAAGAAGTCCTTCTTTAGGTATATAGGGAGCAGCAGGAAAACAAATGGAAGCATGAGGCCCCTGCTCAACCCCTTGGGACAGCTGGTAACGGACACTCAGGAAAAAACTGAACTCTTGAATGCCCAATTTGCTTTGGTATTTCACCAAACCAAGGGGAAAGACAAGTGAAATAAGGATCACAGGGGGCCATGGTGGGAATGACGGCCTTCACACTGTGGATGTTGAGCTGGTGCAAAACCAACTAGAAAAGCTAGACATTTATAAGTCAGCAGGACCAGATGGACTTCACCGAAGGGTGCTGATGGAGCTGGCTGAGGTCATTGCAGAACCCCTGGCAAAACTCTTTAAAAAATCATGGCACACAGGGGAGATCCCTGAGGATTGGAAGAGGGCCAACATTGTGCCCATCTTCAAGAAGGGGAAGAGGGAGGACCCGGGCAACTACAAGCCAATCAGCTTAACCTCTATCCCAGGGAAAATCCTGGAAAAACTCATTAGAGAATTAAAGAATCTATGTGCAATACGCTCGGTGAGGGTAAGATTCTGAATGACAGCCAGCATGGCTTCATCACTGGTAGATCTTGTTTTACCAATCTCATCTCCTTCTACAAACAGGTCTCTTGTCACCTGGACATGGGAGAGAAGGTTGACATTATATACCTAGACTTCCCAAAGGCTTTTGACTTAGTATCCCATGATATCCTTCTGGAAAAATTGGAAGATTGAGGGCTTAACTGCTCAACAGTTCAGCGGGTGGAAAACTGGCTGCATGGTAGGACCCAGAGAGTTCTCATGAAAGGATCTGTGTCATCCTGGAGAAAAGTGGCCAGTGGTATCCCTCAGGGGTCCATGCTTGAACTGCTACTTTTCAACATCTTTATCAATGATTTGGATGTGGGGGTGAAAAGCTCCCTGGCCAAGTTTGTGGACAACACCAAGTTATGGGGGAGCACGGTCATGCCAAAAAATAGGTTGCAGATACAGGTGGACCTGGACAGGTTGGAGAGTTGGGCAGACCGGAATCAGATAAAGTTCAACACTCAGAAGTGTAAGGTGCTCCATCTGGGGGCAAACAATCCCCAACATACTTACAGGCTTGGGGGCAACAGTTTGACTTGCACCACGGCCTAAAGGGACCTAGAGGTAGGGAGCGACCATCATGTGAGTGAGCCGGCAGTGCAATGCTGTGGTCAGGAGGGCAAACACCACTCTGGCGTGCATTAGCCACTCCATCTCATGCAAAACTAAGGAAGTGATACTCCCACTGTACTCCACACTCATGAGACCGCAGCTGGAGTACTGCATCCCGTTCTGGGCGCTGCACTTCAACAAGGACGTATAAAAACTTGAGAAGGTCCAGAGGAGAGCTGCCTGTATAATCAAGGACTTGCAAGACAAGCTTTACAAGGAGAGGCTGAGGAACCTGGGCCTCTTCAACCTACAGAAGAGAAGGCTGAGAGGGGACTTGGTAGCGGCTTACTGCTACATTGGAGAAAACATCAAGAACTCGGTGAACAGCTGTTCACCAGGGCACCCCTGGGGAAGACCAGAAGCAATGGATACAAACTCCTGGAAGGCCGCTTCAGGCTCAGTTCCAGGAAAAACTCTTTCACAGTCAGGGTGTCCAGATTGGAATACACTCCCTCCAGTGGTGGTGCAGTCACCTACCCTGGAAATCTTTAAAAGGAGACTGGACATTCACCTCACTGGGGTCACTTGAACCCAGTTGTCTTTTCCTGCCTAGTGCAGGGGGACTGGATCCGATGATCTACAAGGTTCCTTCCAACCGATAATCTATGAATCTATATATGGGGTTGTACTATATACAACAAATCTGGTACCTTTTAAATACACATCCACTTAGGATTCAAATGATGGAGAATCTACCATATCCTTAGATACATTTTTCTAATACCAATTACCTTCACTGGTAAAAAAAACTGTATGTTTGAGGTGATCTGGCTTCAGCGTCTAACCACTGACCTCACTATCTTCTAAATAAAACATTTTAATAATTCATAACTCATGACTATTTGAAATGCAAATGATCTGATTTGTTGATAACAACAACAACAATGTTTTTCTGAACTGGCATTCAGACTGCCATACTCCAGTTACTCCTACTTCCTTGCTACACTGATATAATTCAAACCTGTTTTTACAGTGTTCTCAAAATAAAAAATTATGTGAAGCATGTGACTTGCATCTCAGTCACATGTCTAATCTTTAGGCATATATTTTGTGTGGGGTACATTGCAACTTTATTTGGAATGCTTGACAAGTAATTCTTTATTGCTTTTTATGGGAAAGCACTCAGCTGAACCGAAACACAATAGGTAGTCTATGTGTTAAATATGCAGAAACTGGTTTAACACAGCAAATAAAAATGATTCTTTGGTATACTGGTTCCTTTCATTTAAGAAGTATGCAAGAAATTATGCTCTTTAGATTGGCATTTAAAACCTCTTTGTTTAACTTTTCCAGTAGTAATTATCTATAAAAAAAGATTTAATTGCAGAGAGGAAAAAAAAAAAGCAGAACTTCCTTCTTTTACAATGAGCTGTATGGTAAAATGTTCACAAGTGCCTTATAACCTAGGTCCCAATTTCAAAAGTGATTTAGAAGCTTAAGTGTCTAAATGAGGTTAGAATTTTAAAAGGTACTTTGATTCCTAATGCCTACTGACATACATGCAAACATACATTAAAAAATCTAGCCCTATATCATTTTTAGAAATCAATGTAGGTGCTGTTGAAAATTCTACTTAAAAGGTATCTACTCTGTAATCAGAATATCCATTAAAAGATAAACAGACCTTATTAAAATAATTCTATTTATTTGCATTTTTTTTAGGCTGGAGTGTTCTCTTAGGCATAGTCTTGATGACTCAGTATTTTAACTACTTCAATATTTTAACTATTTCAATTTATGTTTACCATAGTAACATCTTACTTATTTACATTGTCTATTTACATATTGCCAACTCTGTCAGGTCAGATTTAAAAGGTATGATTATTTTATATACTGACTAATTTAACAAATACAACTTTACTGTAGGTTGATGGACACTCAAGCTTCAGTTCTAATGAACTGGGTGATACTTTCATGAGTACAAAGAATAAGGACACCAACAGTTTCATGATACGTTTTAATAAGTGAAAATTATTTGATTTCACTTTTTATACAATTGTTATATGTAACATGTATATGTACCTTTCCAGTTGCAATGTTTTTGATCTATGGAATACAAAATGAAACCTATACTTTATATACATGTGCAATTCTGAACAAGTCCTGAGTAATTTGAAAGCAGTATTAGTAAAATCTTGTATCTGTGCAACTAAAATTCAGGTAAGATAGAATTACACTACAGCAAAGAAATCACCTTTAAAAAATATACAGCATTTTGCATTAGGTTTGTGCATCACTGTGAGCTCAGTACAGTGCACAGTATACAGTTACATTCCACATCATTAGAATATATGAAAATGCTGACCTCATTCTTGAATTACTATTGCTTCTTTTTTTGTTTTTTTTAAATGAATGGTAAGTGATTCATTCTGCTTCTGTATAATCAAGCGTGGAAGACTTTTACAGGGTTGAAGTTAAAGTCCTCTGCAGTACATATTTTGTAAACATTCAACTCATAGGTCCTTTAATTCTTAGAAAAAAAAATGATGAAGCCAAATAGTTAATCTGTGTTTCCCTTGGACAAATACATAACAACAGAATGTAAGAATCAACTCAAATGCCACAATATGCAATGGAAAAAAGAAAAAAAAAAAGATGAAACAGTTTGGATAGAATCTAAAAAGAAACTGAATGCTACAAAAATTGCCCTCAGGAATCAGGAGATAATCTTGCACTACTGTAATGAATTGTCTGAGCAAATGTAAAGGACAAACTTCCAAACACAGCATAAGAATTAGAATTTTTGTATGTCATTACTTGATCAAGTAGCAGTAACAAATGTTTGCATATCCCATGCCAAGAAAAGGCAGGCACTAAAGATGAGAACTGTTAAAGGATGAGGGTTAGCTTTGTTGCATATCCGTTTTTAACTGGCAAAGTTTCTGATGAAACATTTCTAGGCAGGGAAACTATTTTTTTATTTGCATTTTTCTCACAGCACATAATGAAAGGCACCACTTTGGATTTTGCTCTGCTGATAAAGAATCCTTGGCACCACAGTTAGCCGGTCCCATGACTGCTGTAGTCAAACACTCCTTTCTTGAAGAAGGGCGAGAATTCACAGATGGTGTGTTTTGACAGGGTGAGTCCCACTTTATCAATGTGTAATGGAGAGGATGGAGACTTGAGCATTGCAGAAAAAAAGTTTCTGAGGTAATTCTGTGGAAAGAAAACCACAAGGTCATAATGTTTTCAATAATTATTTTGCACCCTTTTCAACAACTGCTTTGACGAGCTGATTAAAAGATAACATAACGGAAGAGAGAATCTCAACTGGACTTTCCAAAGTTCAGTAATCAAAAACGTTCAATCCCGTATCCATAAACTTGTGTTTGAAATGTTTGTGTTATGATCAGGCAATACAAAGGAAATGTATGATGCCTTTTTGCCAAACTTGATGAATATTTAACTCTACTCTTATAATAATACTTTCTGACAAGAATGGGCTACCAATATTCTGAAAGCAGATGCCTAAAATTACCAATACCAAACACTGCAACAGGTATACACAGTAGACAAACTCTGTAGGAATTTCACTGAATATGACTAAAAAGGAACTTTATAAATCTTTTACTCCTCTGAGCTCTATGGTCATTCAACTGAAAGGGACATTTGGATCAGGATCAACTGCAAAAATGGCATATATTTCTTATGTTGCTGTACAAATGATGCCTTTCCAGTGCGGTACTCAAACTGCTAAAAGAAAATACAGAATGCAAGAAACATCCAAGAAGGTAATGACTAAGTGTTATGCTTATTATGTCCATTTATATCTTAGGAAACTATGACTGGTGAACAGTAATGATATAAATAAAGGATTTTCACAAAACCAATGTGGTTTCCTTTAAGTATGGTTTTGTTGGGATCATCAGGAATATTTCTTCTGAATTAACAGCATTTGCAACATTTGAATTGCTTCTGCATGAAAGAAAGGTGGAAGACAAAATATATACAAAATATATATTGAGGCTATTAACCCAATTTAGGGGTTTAAGTTTGACCCATGTGGCTTACAGAGACACAAGACTACAGCTTGTTTATTAAAGCAGAGAATTTAACAACAGAGTAAGCTTGGGATCTAGATAACTGAAATCAGTTGCCTAAACGATTACCCCAATGGATCAACAATGACTTTGGTCAGAGGGCCAATCCACCCTCAGAGGACTAGACATTGTGGGATGCTTTTCCTGAAGCTCCTGTTTTTTCTTAGAAGTTCAAATGAATTGGAATCCCTTCAGTCTGTGCTTTCCATTTACAAGCCTTTTACCTATGTACCAACTCAACTTCAACTGTTCCTGTCTCACCGCAAAAAAACACTACTCTTACAAAATCAAACAACAGGAAGTACAGTTATCCTGAGTTCTAGGAACTGATTCTTTTCCAAGCTTAACTACACAGCATTGCTTTAAAAATAGTATTGGTTAGGCTGAGGTTCAGGCCTACAAGACAGACACATACTAGAGCAACTAAAAGAAAAAAGATGCCATGCAAGAAGCTAGTAAGAAAATTGTATCTACAGTAAAAGGATAAAGTCTTCTGCTCTGCTGCAGACTGGATAAAAGACATAACTATAGACAATACACACTAATCATGCATTCAGGGGAAATACATATTTCCTACAATAGTACAATACTGCATGAGGAACGTGCAGTTTAGTTTGTTCAGTGCAACATCCAGCTTTAAATTAGCAATTTTAGGAAACTCTAAATAAAATCTATGGTACCTGCTCTTCTCAAGAATTTCTCCATAATAAAACAACCTTCTTATCTAGATAAGAAATGAGCTGTATTAATGTTAAAGAAACCAAGACCCAAAAAACCAGGATAATGAAAAAGCAGCTGGCACATAAGCTATTCTCTTGGCAGGACTGGTGGGTTTTCTTTTTTATTCAAATCTCCCACAGGTTGTATTAGTGTTCAGAAAAAAAAAAGTCATTATGAAAATGCCTTCAAGATAAATTCCAACAGCCTAAGAGGTAATTTAAAGTAGGCAACAGATGTAGTGTCAACATTTGTCATAATTAGTTCACAAAGTAGGGTCCTTTAAAAAATTCCAACCCAGTAAAGCCTGAAGGAGGAATATCAAGAAAATAAAGTAAAACCAAGTTCACTGCTAGCATTTTAGTACCATGCTGAAAAGTTACTGCAGTAATTCCACTTTACAGGGACTGAAACTCATAGAAGTACCTACAGTTGTAGTCACAGTCATTAGAAAACAAAGTGCATTTACCTTGGTCTGTGCGAGCTAGATGACTGACTGCCATACCTATCTGTGAATACATTATTTTTAGTTCAAGCCAGGGAACCGTAACGGTGCTTCACAAATATCCTTGCATCAGGTATATATATGTGTGTGAAATGAAGCTATAGTGACTATAATTTTTTTCCAGATCTGTACAGAGATTGCTATATGAATACAAGAGAGAGCTGGAAAACAGAAACCAACATGTGAATATGTTAAATCTCCCTCCCACTATTTTTTGATAGAATCTGATTTTGAATAGAGATTTCCAGCAGTATCCACTGCACACCTCATACTGCATGTTAACATCCCAATCAATGGCCACTATGGCCAGAAATACAATTTAAATCTCATCTCTACTTATGTGCTTGTCTGCAGTGCTGCTGCTGCACCACAGTATGAAGGTGTTGTGTGTTTCACACTTAAGATGCTGTTGCTTTAGTACAATTAAAACATCTCTGTCCAGATGTGAAATTGAAGATTCCATAGTATAGTGAAACATGTTTTGTTGTCCCCCGTTACATGTGAATTAAGGCCGAGTATGTTGCCATTAGGTCCCAGTCACCATGGTATACTCCAAGTGTAGAATGCACACGATTAAAGAATATCTATTCTAGTCTTGTAAGGTTAGCTTTGAATATCCGAAACAGTTGACTACTACAAATATTCAAGGTGTGTTTTTATTACTTGTTTTATTTGTTAGGTCAGTAAATACTTTTAAAACAGTAAAGATTACAATATTAATTTGTTCTGGCTTATTTAGTTTAGTAATCAGTTGTCTTCAACATGCACCTATGCATTCATAAGTCACAAAAATTATAGCCACTGTAGCTTCATTTCACACAAATACACACACCTGATGCAAGGATATTTGCAGAACACCATTTGAATTACTAATGAGAGTTCAAACTTTTATATTCTTGGTTTATAAAATCATCTTAATTATAGGTGTTTAAATGTTTCCCAGCGATAGCATGAGATCTTGGCATTGTAACCAGGACATCTTTTTAATTTTTACACCTTTAAATATATACTAGCCAACTGCCTGTCAAGAATGACCGGGGAGGGGAGGAGGCGGCTGGGATGGAGTGCCGTCACCTAACGCCCCATGCTGCTGCTGTTCTGCCTCTGGCAGGGAGCGGGGTGGGGGAGCGAAGGCCAGTGCTGCTGGCCTCAGCTCCCCCACCCTCTGTCTGGTCTTTGGCATGGCTTTGGAATCATGGTGGCACTCCCCTACGCTTGGAGCATTCTGATTGGCTGTTTCCGTCAGCCAATCAGAGTGCAAATAAAGCATCACAGACAGACAGACAGATGTAGGCTTTTATAACATTAGAATAATCAATCATTTGGTCTAAACACACTCAGCAAGATGGGACATTATTTTATAAAAGAACTTTATGACTAAGTACAAAAAAGTTTAAGGCACTTTTTTAATACTCTTTGGTCAATGCACATTATAAGTCTGTGCCCATAATTTCAAAGGTGATAATTCAGAACTTTCAGGTTGTCCTACCCTGTCACAGCCTGAGACTGACTAATTTGAAATTTGTATTGTGTGACCTATCTGTACTTAGGCCTCAAAGCTGTAACCTTATATTACCAGCACTTCTAGAGGAGAAAAAGTTGAGAAAGCTTTTGTAAGACTGAAAGTTTCTTCTTTATGGACAGGGTTGAGCAGTTTTCCTTCAATTTTAATTAGCTGAATGGTGCAATGGTAACCATTTAAAAAGTTATTAAAAATTATTATTTTTATAGGTTCACTTCTTTAACTGTAGACCAGTGTTCATCTTGTGCGCAATACATCAGCAGAGCAATGTCATTCTAATGATTTTTTGCACTGTTTCTCTGTGTGGGGACCTCATATTTTTATATATTTTAACATAAATCCATAACTTAATTTAAAGTTATTAAAAGTATTAAAATAAAAAAGCTTTCTGGAATCTATAAGGCTTCTTATCATCTTTTCAGTTGTGACATATTATCAGGGAATACAGCTCAATGACATTGTTCTCATAATCTATTATAAATGGTGACAGCCTTGGAGACCAATATTAGAGCTTAGGAAGAGTAAGATTTTTCATTAAACTCTGTATTGTTTCAAAACTTACCAACCATAGTACTTAGAGAAGGTGAAAGAAACTTCCAGCCAAACTGGCTTGAGAGCTTCGGAGTCCTTCTCATTCTTGCTAGGCATTTTTAAATAGTTTTTCTAGCATCATTTGGAATTCCTTAAAACATCACAACCACTAATAAATATAGCATGCACCTGTATTTAAAGGTGCCAAAAGAACTTTGAGAATATTAATGAGTAATGAGTAATGCATTGGAGGACCCCAGTGATGTAAGAGGCAGTGGAGGAGGCATGTTAACAAACTAACCCATGGTTAAACAACAGAATTCTTGTCCTGCTCATCTGACAAAAGTCAATGAACTGTCCCTGTCATTTAATGCAAGTGCCAGTGTTGCTCAGAACAGGATCACTGTATGTGATCTCTTGACAAGAGTGTTATATCTTTCAATGGCAAGATATTGAACTATTCATACAACACAACATATAAAAGTATCTTGTTTTCTACAGGAAAGATAAAAATGTATTAGAAAAAGGGATAAACTGAAGCCCTCTCTCATTCTGAGTAACATATGACTCTGCGACCTGTCCCCGCTGGTTTTAGTGGAAGTACTCTCAACATTACAGCATTCCTATGTAGAAGCAAAGGCCATAGGAGTGTAAACTGCAATGAGCAGACATCAAGAATAGAGAGGCCACAGAAGCTTTTAAGCTATGACAATAAAAGGCAGATTTCTTAGATGATGATTCTTTCAGTTGTAAAGGCATTCAGCATAACTGAGGAAATCAGAATCGGTTAACTAGTTTATTCTCAAACTTGTCCAAGGGACGTAACTTCTGCCTTCCAGAT